TCCTCATCTTCATCCTCATCCCCATCATCCAATCCTTCTCATCTTCATCCTGCTCTTCCTCCTCCTCCACCTCCTCCTTTCTCCTCTTCCCTTATCCTCTTCTTCCTCATCATCATCCTCATCCCCATCATCCTCCTCATCTTCATCCTCATCCCCATCATCCTCATCATTATCTTCATCCCCATCATCTTCATCCTCACCCTTTCTCCTCTTCCCTTATCCTCTTCTTCCTCATCATCATCATCCCCATCACCTTCATCCTGCTCTTCATCCTCCTCATCCTCTTTCTCATCTTCTTCCTCACCCCCACCTTCATCCAATCCACCTCCTCTTCCTCCTCTTCCTCACCCCCACCCTCCTCCTCCTCCTCCCTCGCGGTTCCCGCCTCACTTGTCGGGTTTCCCGGGCAGCAGCAGCCGCAGCCGGCACTTGTTGGCCGAGTGGATTTCTTCCTCCTTGACCTTCATCATCCTCTGCAGGGCCAGGCACCAATCCTGCGCCACCGTCATGTTCAGGTTCTGNAAAACCACCATGACACTGATGGGGCGCCCCGACCTGTGCGACACGGCGGCCTTCAGCCTCACCATCCTCATCCTCACCATCCTCATCGTCACCATCGTTATCCTCACCGTTATCCTGATCCCCGTCATCCTCATCAAATTCATCCTCACCCCATCATCCCCATCATTGTTATCCTCATCCCCATCATCCTCTTCATCTTCATCCTCACCCCCATCATCCTCCTCATCTTCATCCTCATCCCCATCATCCTCATCATCTTCATCCTCACCCCCATCATCCTCCTCTTCATCATCATCTTCATCCTCATCCTCACCATTGTTATCCTCATCTCCATCATCCGCCTCTTCATCATCATCTTCATCTTCATCCTCATCATCATTATCCTGATCCCCATCATCCTCCTCATCATCATCTTCATCCTCACCCCCATCATCCTCACCAACTTCATCCTCACCCCATCATCCCCATCATTGTTATCCTCACCCCCATCATCCTCTTCATCTTCATTCTCATCCCCATCATCCTCACCATTATCTTCATCCCCATCATCTTCATCCTCACCCCCATCATTCCCATCATTGTTATCCTCACCCCCATCATCCGCCTCTTCATAATCATCTTCATCCTCATCCTGATCATCGTTATCCTGATCCCCATCATCCTCTTCATCATCATCATCCTCATCCTTACGCCCCTCATCCTCACCAACTTCATCCTCACCCCATCATCCCCTATCATTGTTATCCTCATCCCCATCATCCTTCTCTTCATCATCATCGTCATCCTCATTATCCTCCTCCTCATCACCTTCATCCTCCTCACCATTATTATCCTCACCCCCATCATCCCCATCATTGTTATCCTCACCCCCATCATCCTCCTCATCTTCATCCTCATCCCCATCATCCTCATCATTATCTTCATCCTCATCCTCACCATTGTTATCCTCATCCCCATCATCCTTCTCTTCATCATCATCGTCATCCTCATTATCCTCCTCATCATCACCTTCATCCTCCTCACCATTATTATCCTCATCCCCATCATTCTCATCATTATCTTCATCCCCATCATCTTCATCCTCACCCCCATCATCCCCACCATTGTTATCCTCATCCCCACCATCCTCCTCCTCCTCCTCATCTTCATCCTCCTCATTATCCTCGTGCCCATCACCTCCCTCATCATCTTCCTCATCTTCATCCTCCTCTCTCCTATCATTATTCTTATCCCCATCATCCTCCTCCTCCTCATCTTCATCCTCATCATCATCATCCTCATCCTCACCCCCATCATCTTCACCATCTTCATCTTCACCCCATCATCCCCATCATTGTTATCCTTATCCCCATCATCCTCCTCTTCATCATCATCTTCATCCTCATCCCCATCATCCTCATCCTCATCATCGTTATCCTTATCCCCATCATCCTCCTCTTCATCATCATCTTCATCCTCCTCACCATTGTTATCCTCATCCCCATCAGCCTCCTCATCATCATCATCCTCATCCTCACTAACCTCATCCTCACCCAATCATCCCCATCATTATCCTTATCCCCATCATCTTCCTCTTCATCATCATCTTCATCCTCCTCCTCACCATTGTTATCCTCATCTCCATCATCCTCCTCTTCATCATCTTCATCCTCATCCCCATCTTCCTCCTCCTCATTTCATCCTCATTCCTGTCATCCTCCTTCTCCTCATCTTCATTCTCAACTTCATCC